GATGTTTTTAAAAGTTTGGGCCTTGTTTTTCATCAATTTGGAGCTAGAGTTTGAAAAGAATGAAGTTCTAATTTATAGCAAAATTGGACTATAACTCCAACCAGACCGCTCAAGTGGCCTGGGCCACCGCTCGAGCGGCTAGCCCTTCTTTGCATCAACATGCATTCTACTCGCATGAGCAACCAGCTCCACCGCACGAACGGCCAGTCCAACTCACGAGCAACCTAGGCCACTGCACGACTTTGTTTTCTTTCCATTTTTCTGACTTCTAGGCCTCTATTTACATGGTTTTCAAGTGTTTTACTTATGCATATGCATTTCATGGTCACGAAAGAAAGTAAAGAATGAATAGGCTTAAAATCGACGGAATGATTGGAATGTAATTGTGAAGGTGTTGTGTAGGTCACTTGCATGCGGAGCATCATTCAGCCAAGCACTATGAGTAATATCTTTATAAAGATGTTTTCGTATACATGACTTGGAAATGGCTATGCTATGCGATGAATTATGCAATCTATATTTTGATTAAGAAATATTCGTTTAGACTATGAAATGATAAAATATGTTATGAATTTTCGATTGTTCGTGATATAATAAATTTTCTAAATAAGTGCTTTTGATATACTAAGTTATGCCATGAAATTCCGAAATGATTACGATAAGATAAGCTTTTCAAAAATGGAATGGTAACATTTCCAATGACTTTCGTATCGTCTGCAACTCGATATGTACGTTCTGTATAAGTTAACACCTTATACGATGTTGATCTTAATGATCGTTCCACATGATTTCAATCGTAATCGTTCAGTATAACATCTAACCGTAATAGACATTCCAACTAAAGGTACCCAAAGTGGGCGTTCCATACAAGCTCATCCGATGTGGACGTTTTGTACCAAGTCGTCCTAAGTGGACGTTTCACATAAGTCATCCAATAAGGACGTTCTGTACGAAGTCATCCTATATGGACGTTCTGTATATTGTTGTCCAATGTGGGTGTTCCGTATAAAGCCGTCTGATGAGGGCGTTCTAAATGCTCCGTTTCGCTGTGAACGATTTGTGCGGTCTTTCGTCAAGTTTTGATAAGGCTATTGAGTTCTATGAAATGTGTCAAGCTATGAAAGGGTTGATGATCCATATTTGTTATTAAACGTTTTCGAAGTATGCTTTAATTATGTCAAGAACATTATATTGTTTTTATAAAGTTATGAAACTCACTCATTTAGCCTCTTTACATTGAGATTGTTCACTGGGCTCTAGCTCATTGTTTAGTATAAGTATGTAGGTGATCCAGCACAGGACCAGACTTAGCGGTGTCGATTTGAACCTCGTTTTGTCAAGCCAACTACCGTGCCTCACTGCGAGGTTTCGAACTGTCAAGTGTCAAGGCTTTTTGAATACTTCAGAATTCGCCCACATGTTATGAAATGTGAATGAGTGCTATGAAGTTTTTGCTTAAGATTTTTGTTTTTGACTGTTTTGTTATTGGGTTTCAATCCCTAAGTTCTGTCTTATTTTTGTAATCAAGCTTAATGCTTGGGCTTACATGTGTAAATATGAAAGTTTGTTTGGTCATGTAAGTCCTCACAACTCATTAGATGTTATATATTACTATTTATTTGCTTCCACCAGTCCCTTTTTATTGTGTTACTGAAAGCAAGCCTTTGGTAATCACGGATTACTGGTCGGTTACGCTACTAAACCTTTAGGGGTGGGTTTGGATCGTGACACTGGCAATGAATTGAGCAGCCTTTACATCAGGTCTTTGGCTCAACCTTGCCAAGTCTACCATAAATAGTTCAGGTTCTGTTTGGAAAAAATTAGGCGTGAAACACTTCTTCCATTTGCTGCCAGGTTTGGATAGAGTTAGGTGTAAAGTTTGTGTACCACAGGAAGGCTGCTCTAGTTAAAGAATTTGGAAAAAGCCTCAATTTCATGTAGTCATTGTTGGTGAACTCACTACACTGCCCTGTAAATCTGGCAATATGTTCAATAGTTGATTGGTTTCCATTCCCATAGAAGAGCGCAAAGTTTGGTATCTTATACCCCCTTGGGTACTCATGTAACCTATTTATCCATTCTGGGTAAGGTTTTCTGTAAACAGGGGTCTGGACCCCCCGGGCCATAGGTCCACAAATTTCTCTAACAATATTAGCAATTTGGTCCCTAGGTATAATATTTTGTGCTGGCTGGGCCATTATTGGAAGAGTAAGCACAAGGTTGTGAGGAACTCCTTGTGCTTGAGGCTCTCTTAGTCCATGTAAAGGCATATTTGGGATTTGTTGTCCCTCGGGGATGGGCTGTCCCTATTGTGCTGGTTGATGTTGAGGGTATGGCTAGCACATTGGGCCAGGTATTTGTCCCATAAAAGGTGTTGCGAAGGGAACTGCTGGAGGAGAAACAAATGTTGTTTCTCTTCCAACTGTAGGAACTCCTTCTAACCCCTGGGTGTAAGCTCGAACACAGGATTAGTGAACACCCGTGTGCCAGGCATGGGTTCAAACACAAGATTTGAAAACACTCGAATGCCATTTCCTTGTATCAGCCCAGACCCACCAATGTGTATGGTTTCGCTGGTAGGCAAAGGTATGCTCTAACTTATCAGTGGTCTAGGAGGAGCTTCGTACCATGATTAAGGCACAGGTGATGGTCTCTCATGATTTTGATTATTAGTTTGACCACTAGTTTGCCCATTATTGTGTCCATTACTTTGCATAGGCTGTTTATCTCGAGCCAATCTTTGTTAAAGTAAGTTTATGTTCTCTTTAGCCTGTCTTATGACAAGCAATAGATAGGAGCTTATTCGATTCGAAAAGGATGTTGCCTATCTTTCCATTGTATGCATTAATTGTTGTCCCATAACATTAATCAATCCTCCCTATGGATTCATTGGTTGGGTAGATAGAATAATTAAAAGTCCAGTTTCATGGCCTCGTCCAACATTTTGGACGTACGTTGCATATCCTAAAGTGCTGGTCTCTTCGACCACTTGTGTAGGATCACTTGAAGTAGGCACATCCATGGGATGTGATATTACATTATCTTCTAGGTTATGTGCTTCTAGATCTCATTTTACACCTTTTTCGAGGCGTTTATTTTCTCCTTGTCTCCTACGTCTACCATTATATTCGAGTCCCACTGGGCGTGCCAAAAATATATGTTGGCTTTTTTGCCTTTTGAAGGTCAAAAACGTAATTAGAGCATGCTAGCAAGAATCAATAAGTCCTTACAAAGATAGTAAATGCCAACAAATTAATTAGACGATTGCTTCGAAGTTCTTTTAGCCTCAATAAAGAGGACTTTAACTGGTGACTTATTTTAGGAGAAAATTTAGAAGAATTAATCAACAAAAATAAAAGAAAGAGGGAGAGAACAGTGTCAGAAATCAAATTTCGTTAAGTAAACAAGAGTTTACAATTGTACCTACTCACTTACACAGCTTCGAAGGGGGTTATAGTAACAGACTAACTTAGAACTACTCTTGGGAATTTGAAAAGTAGTGCAAGAAAGTATAGGACTGGAAAGAAAAATATGAAGTAAATAAATTAGTTTCTAGATCTAGTTTTGGTCCTTTTTTCACTATCAGCCTTCTCCTCTATGTATAGGCTTTGATGATAACTGTTGAAGTGGCTGATAATCGTCGAAGTGGGTGATAACTGTCGAAGGAATCTCCATGATCACTGGACATGGCTTTAAATAGTTTGCTTCCACTAAATTACTTTTGCGGTTGGGCTTTCCTCTTGAATTTGAATTTAAATTGTAAGTAACCATTTGGCCACGTCACCCTGCACATCTTGACTGTTCCATTGTCTCTCAAATCCATCGCCATTGATACAAGTTGCCACGTGTCTATTAATGACTGGAGACCTTCACTGACTCCCCAAATTACTCCTTATGAACCACGTGTCAGGCTGTGATTGGCTTGTACAAAATGGCCAACAAGTATAGAACCCAATAATATTTATGTACATATTAAAGTGAAGAGCATGCCCTAGATTTATGGGTTTATGTGTTTTATGCTCTTAAAGTGAAGAGTGAGTCCTAGATTTATGAGTTTTAGAGGAAAGGTAAAAAAAATAAAAAAATAAAAAAATAGGGAATTTATGTCTGAGTTTGGAGAGGGATTTAGTGGAAAAGGACATGTGAAATTGGTCCTTTTTGTGTGTGTGTGCGCGCGCGCCGTGGGTTTGATGATCATTCATGTTGGTAGCTTTCTGATAGGACTCCAATGTTTTATGGTTATGTTAAAAAATGGTTGTCGAAATTTTTATTTATTTATTTATTTTTGGTTGATAAAGTTGAACTTAAAATTTAAATAAATAAAAAAATGATGTAGTTTGGTTATTAAGAGATGAAACATCATTTAAAAAAAGTGGTTGTGGAGTATATATATATATTTTTGGGGGATAAATTTGAGCTCAAAATTTAAATTGGGTTCTATTAAAAAAAATATGGTGACGAAAGTGGTTTATTTTTGCTGTTAAAATGTAATCATTTCACAAGGTAAGTGAGAAAGAGGGAGAAAACAGATAACGGGAGTGATGTGATTCGTTTAAAAATTGAAAAAATGAGTTTTTTTTTTTTTTTTTAACAAAACTTTTTTACCCATCTCGGTGACAAAGCCTGCAACACATTTTTATAATAAATTATCTTTTTCAATTTTGCTTTAATTTTATTGGGGTGCATTTATGTTCGGATAATTTTATAAAATTCATTTGAAAGTCAAAACTAATCGGACCTATATTTATATTTTTACCTCAAATATTTAGCAACAAATTTAATAAATTATATTTTAATTCAATAATTTTATACTCAATTATATTTTGATCTCATCATTAATCGTACCATGTCTTTAGACATGGGTATACACTAGCCTATATGATATGGCACGAGAATTTTTAAAAATGTCCCAAAATATCTAAGCGATTCATTTTGTATCAATGGCTCAGATTGTCCCATCTAATCTTCAACGGTTGAGATGTCTTCATTTCCAGGCCAAATGCTCCTTGTAAATTGAAGAAAATCTCTCTCTCTCTCTCTCTCTACCTCCATCGGAGCCCATGTTGTGGGGATACCCAACCCCAGTAGCAATTCGTTTCTTCTTCCTCCCTTGCTCTGATTCAATCAATGCTCTTTCATTCTCTCTCTTCAATTCCTTGTCAGAGCCAAACCCTTGTCGAAGACTAACCCCGAACCCCCTATTACCCTCTTCATTTTCTCTCTTCCTCATTTCCTCTCTTTGCCATACCAATCTTCATCAACAGTGGTAGCCCAAACCCCCTATTCCACCACAATCGACATAACCTTTTCAGCCATAGGGGAGATTTTGAAAGGAGCCATTGCAAAAGGGGAAATTTCACTGGACCACCATTGTCTCCAAAGAGATCGGTACTTCGTCATTGTTAATATTCAAAGAGATCCCAAACAGGTATTTTAATTAGTTAAGTTCTTCATTTTTTCCCCCACTGAATCAAATCAATCTCTCCCTAGAAGATAGGGTATTTGAATGTCTACCTGTGTATTTTGATTGTTTGGTATTTATGTATGAGTAACCTGATATATATACACATATTGATATATATGTTTTGTGGGGATTATGTATGCATATATTTCTGTATATCCAAGTTATCATTGGTGGAGCTACATAACCCCACTCAAAATTAGGATTTTTTTTGTTTAAATATGTGTATTTATGCAAAAGTTTTGGGAGTTTTAGAAATTGAAGGCAGCGGAATGATTAGAAAAATTAAAATTGGATTTTTTTTGGGTTTGTGCTTGAATCTTGGATTTGGAGAGTGATTTGTGGAGAGAAAAGGAAAGTGATTGGAAATATGAATTAAAATTAGGTTTTTTTTTATTTATTTTTGTTTATTTATTTTGTGTGTGCGCGCGCTTGAATCTAGAACTTCCAACTTTTGCAATTCATGATATTTTTATGGGTTTGGTTGTTTCTGATTGCTTGAATCTAGATATTTTTGTGGGTTTGCAAGGTTGAATCTGAATATCTTTTAATCTGGTTATTTTTTGTTGAATCTGGATTCTAGATATTTTTTCATTTTGTTGAATCTTAGATCATTTATTTTTGTGAGTTGTGGATTGGTGTTGAAATTGCAATTCATCAATTTTAAACTGTAAACCTTTTTGACATTTGTGGGTGTTTGGTTGGGTTGGTCATTGTGTGGGTTTGTATTTACAGTTTGGCTTCTAACATGGGTTTGATTTTGAAATGAGAAATGAGTTTTGATTTTTGAAATAAGTTGTGTTTCTTAAATGGATTTAATTTTGTAAAAGGTTTTGGGTGTGAAATAATACTTGATCTTCATGAAATGGGTTTCATTTTTTAAATGGGTTTTGATTTCAGAAATGAATTTTTATTTTCAGTTTGATTTCTGGCATGGTTTTGATTCTTTAATGGGAAATGGGTGTTAATTTCCTATGATTTTGAAAAGCTTTTGATTTATGAAATGGGTTTTAATTTATGAAATTAGTTTGAAATGTTTGTTGTATGGGTGTATCTACTTTGACCTTTTGAATTTTTTGTGGTCTGCAATTAACTACATAACCTGTGGCTTTTTATTCTATGTTTAATTTGCTTTTGAAGTTGTGGCACCTGTTGTCATATTGGTTGTGCATTTGATGATGGCTGGAGTCACTTAGATTTATTTCTTATGGGTATAGGTTTAATGTTATGAAAGTATTTATGTCATTTCACTTCTTCCTTTTGTTTGTAGATCCATTTTCTATTGCAACTATAATGGTAAATAAAACAAATGGGAACTCTTTGCTTGGCCAATATAAACGATGGCAACCCAAAGTGAGATTTTTTTTTTAATATTATTTTTGTGTAAAAATTTAATATCAAATAATGTTTTAACTTATTCTTCACGACATGTAAGTAGGCACATTATGAGCTTGAATGCCAATTCTGATAGAGTTCTCTTCCATTATAATGGACATGGTGTGCCAAAACCAACTGCTAATGGTGAAATTTGGGTATTCAATAAGGTTAGTATCTAATATGAAGTTATGATCATGTTCTTTTCTCTATCACTTCCAGACTTCTAGAGTAGCGATGTTATTTCTTAACTGTTCTTCTTCTTCTTGTTGTTTTTGTTTTTGTTTTTTAAAGTTTGGAATCAATACAATTTGGTACCAATCGGCAGTAGTGGATTGGCTTAGAGTGATGCCTACTGGGTACTCAACCATTGTCAATCTTTAACTAGACTCCGAAAAGGTATTTTACTTTGATTGTTTGTTAGATTGCACTCTCACACTTAGATTTTAGTTGGTTTTGCTGAAAGGAAAGCATTAGTTGCTATGATTGAGAACCTATGGCGGTAATGGACCCATGGTCATCAGGTCTCCGGTAATGGACCCATGGTCATCAGGTCTCCGATTATTGTTAAGCTTACTCATTTTCGTTGTTGTTTTTTTTTCCTCATTTGACAATGCCATTGTTTATTAAAAAGAGAAACCATTGTGTGATAGTGTATGTGTGCAGACAAGTGGAGTGAGATCAACCAATGACGCTAAGCTAGGATAAGTTCTATGGTAATTTCTATTTTTTCTTTTTTTCTTTTCTTTTTCAACTCTCCATTTCCAACCATACGCACTATTGATCTAATTTGTCATTACATACATAAATGAGGGATTTTAATCTCTAATTTTTTCATTCTATTTCATGTGATATTTGTTATTTCTTTATGATTTTGGGGTTCTCATGTAGAGAGTTGTACTAAATATAATATTTATGTGGCCAATTGGCAGCTTGACAATAGAGTGGAGTCAATTGCTTGGAGTCAGTTGCTTGAAGTCAGTTGCTTTTGTTGAGTTGATTTTTGGATTCTATGATTTTATCAAAGATCATTTACTCCACCTAGTAACCCAATAGATGCTAAGTAGGTAGATCAAGTACTACTAGGAGCACATCCTCCTTATTGTTCCTTTGCTAGGAGGAAATGTAGCATCACTCGTAAACTGAGACAACTCTTTCTAAAAGCTTGTTAATGTTTTAAACTTGGTCCCTAAACATAATGATAATCTCTTTGTTCTTGGTGCTGTTTATTCTAATTTATATTTCTATTATGGTTTCAATATATTAGTCTTCCTAGGACATAGCATTAGAACAATATTTTTCTAATTTTATATTTATATTATGGTTTCAACATTATGGTTTCAAGACATAGCATTAGAACAATCAAGCCTAGCCTCATAATTAAATTATATTGCCAATGGGTTTAGTGGCAAAACAAATATTTTGGCTTGGGGGTAACATTAAGCAAAAACCCAAGTTTATATTGCCAATGGGTGTAGTGGTAGAACTAATATTTTGGCTTGAGGGAAACATTACGAAAAACCTAAGTTTTGTCCAGTTTCACAGGCTTATTCCTCACCCAATTGTGTAGTTATGGACTATAATTTTAAAAATAAAAAAAATCACATATTTATCTTTATGGTTAATTTTACATTTGATCAATTAATTGGTTTAAGGATTCCCGGTGGCAAAGCATATATATTAGAGGAATTGTGTACATATCAATTTGCTTTTTTCCTCTTCTTTCTTTGAAGTTTTCTATTTGATTGTCGATTGCAACCTTCTGATTGGCGGTTTGATTGGATGAGGGTGGGTGATGATTCGAATATAATGTTTTCTTACCAAACACAATTAATACACATTCTCGCACAAACTATAATGTCTCTCTTAATGTTTATGTTTGTGATTAGGTAATTGTTTTCAATTTACGTATAATGTCTATCTTGATCCTTTCGTTAATTGTTAATATGATAATGAAGGAGTTGTTTTCATTTGGAAAAATTGACTTAACTCATGTATATATGTATATATGTCTATCATAGGATGAAATTATATCACATGAGTCCCAAACAAATCATAACGATGGGCCACGGTATTGTTACCCTCGGGGCAAGGGTCGTAGGCTGTGGTATTATGATCCCCGGGCGAGGGTGTAGGCTGTGGTATTTTAACCTCCGAACGAGGGTGTAGTATATTGCCGAGTGCAAAGAACGCTTCAAAATATGGACTTTCGTGCCGAGCTAGAGATATTTCTATGTGCCGAGCACAGAAATGATTGCATGAACTAAATAATGTAGATTAAATAAGGTAGATATATCAGTCAAAAAATGAACCATGATATTATTACCCCTGGGCGATGGTGTAGACCGGCGGTATTATAACCCCCGGGTGAGGGTGTACGCCGCAGTATTCTAACCTCTGGGTGTAGGTGTACGCCGCGGTTTTCTAACCTCCGGGCGTAGATGTAGATCTGCGGTATTCTAACCTCCAGGCATAGGTGTAGGCCGCGGTATTCTAACTTCCGGGCGTAGGTGTAGGCCGCGATTTTCTAACCTCCGGGCGTAGGTGTAGACCGGCGGTATTATAACCCCCGGGTGAGGTTGTAGGCCGTGGTATTCTAACCTCCGGGCGTAGGTGTAGGCCTTTGCTGATGGTGCTCCGTGCCGAATGCGAAGATTACGCTGTACTTGAAGACTTTTGCTGATTTTAAGTGGCGACCAAGTGCCAATATGGCAAGGACTTTGAATAATGCATCCTGTGTCAGTGATGGCCTGTACCAAATTAGGTAGACGTGTTAATCACAAATAATATTGCTTCACTTGTAAGGAATTATCAAGCAGATATTGGGCCAACTATTTAATTGCCCAGTAAATTTTGGGCTAATTGGCATTGCTCGGTTTGCGTTCCTATTGCTTTCGAATGACAGGTGTTAGTCGGAAAGAATGCAGATTAGACTTACTCCATTGGCCTATGTTGTAGGGCGACTTCGGCTTTGGTAAAATGACGGCGTGCAAAAATATGCGAAGGGGCAAAAAATATGCAAAGAACTACTGACTGCCAAGTGTGTAATGTATTGCCCCAAAACTGGCGCTTACTTGGAGCGATGTGAAAAGGAGTGGGAGTTTGTAACTCAAGTAAATTTCCTTGTAATGTTTGTACTAGGTTGGTCGAGTATGCATGCATATTAGAGGTGCTAAGATGATGATTAGCCAAGGTAACGAAATGAATGATCGGAGAAGACGGAGGATTATTTCCTAGCCCCAAGATCCTGCTGCTGAAAGTGCATGTCGATCGGATATGCGTTCACCATTGATTTTGCATTTAATGTTCCCGATTGGCCGATGTCTGGATCTCAATATACGACTCAAAATTTGCAGAATTGGACCGTATAGATGTGTTCAGAAGGCTAAAAATAGCTGGAAGAAACTATTGGATCGTTGGAATCGTACTCATAATGGCGTAGTTTTACCCAAAATGGATCTGAGGGCTCAGATCAACAGGGTGTAATGCAACTGTGAAGCACAGGATAATTTATGCATAGCTTGCTGGGTCGTCTTCTCCAACGAAACAATTCACTTTCTGGGCAAACTTTGATCGGCCTGTATGGCTTCATTTTAGCTTCGATTTCGACGCGGTTTGTTGTGTTGGACTCATCTCGATGAGTACTTCACATTGGTATAATCAAAACTTGATTTCGACAATGTTGAAAATTGCAATTTTTTGAAAATATGGGTTGTTGCACAACTATCGGCAAGCGTTGTTTACTTTTTTGCTCCTCTGGTTAGTAGCTTTGGACTCCTTATGTCGACGCGACTTCTCTGATATTGTTAGATGTGGATTTCGGTAAGCTGAGGTGCTAGTTTTATGTCGAGATCGTAGTGCCAAACAAGTTGTCCATGCTATATAAAATGCAAAGTTGATATTAATTTGCTTTGCTCTTGATAATATCTGCGGATTGCAGCAGTAACATACCGAATAAGTTGTGAATTGATAATATGCGGATGTCGTTGCTAATATGCTGAGTAAGTTGCCGAATAAGCCGAGTAATCAATGTTACGGATTTGTTTTTGCCGAATAAAGGTATGCACTGCCGAATAATGTTACTCTACTGCCGAAAACTACTTGGCCCAAGAAACCGACATTTCTCTAACTATTGATGATTGGGATGTGGAGCTTGGTGACGAATGGAGCTTGGTGCCGAATAAAATTTTGATGTTTATATTGTGCCAAATAAACTTTTGATGTTCATATATACTCTGAAAGTCATCACCTTTAAGGAGTTGTATATATTGCAAAAATATTGTGACCAAATAAAAGAAATTCAAGTTGTGGGTCTTGCCCCAAGTAACAGTAGATGTCATGAATGATCGGTGAAGATGGATAATTGTGGCTTAGCTCCTGGAGCCTACTGTCAAAATTGCATGCTAATCGGACATGATTTGACCGTTGATCTATCATTTAACGTCCCCGATTTGATCCCAAGCTAACGCTCGAAATTCACAAAATTGGACCTCAAAAATGGATTCTACACGGCAAAAAACTAGGGGGTAGGCATCCTCGAAGTTATTGGACCATCTGATTAATTGGAATGTGCTAAGATGGAACGGAGCACGTTGTGCCGAGAAGCACATGATAAATCCTTATTTCATCATCTTCATGCTGCATGTCGGGAAAGGCAGAATGTTCCAGTTTCGAACTTGTGACTTTGAGGCCCTGTATCTCCTTCGTTTTAAGTTCGATTTTGACGCGGTTTGTGGCCTTGGACTCGTCTTGATGAGGACTTCACACTGGTATAGTTAAAGCTTGAGTTCAACAACACTGAAAAATGTCGATTTTTGTCGATTTTGCAACTATCGGCGGCTGACAGTTTGTTTGTGGCTTTACTAGTCGGTGTTTGTAGACTCCGCTAGTCGACGTGAACCAACTGGTAGGCCACGAAATTCTTGCTCGTATGGAGAAAAATGTAGACCCACTTGCTAGAGAGAGAAAATGGGTACGTAAATGTGGTTGGTGACACTTTGGCTGGCCGAAGCACTTGGTTCTCGGCATTGTAGTTTAGAAGGGCGTCGGACAAGGTTTGAGTGACGAATTAATAAACGGGGGCGGAGGTCTTGATTGAACAGGCGGGTAGTGTGGAATGGTTGCCGAGTAGTGTGAAGGTCCATGCATGGACATGTCGAGTAGACTCTGCAAGTTACGCTGCCACGACAGGGTTGCAGAGATGCCGAGTTGCCTTGTACGAGGTATGGCACTGTCGAGCAGCTTTGCAGCTTTGCCGAGTACTCTTCTAGGAGTTGTGGTATGGCCGAATAATGTTGATGAATTAAAGTCGAATTCTTCATGGAACAGGTCATGAAATGCGGAATTTTAGATTCAAATTCCTAACTTTGAGCCCTTGTATCCTCCTCGTTTTAAGTCTGATTGGCCTCATTTTTGCGGCGTTGGATTCATCACTTGGCCTAGTGCTCATTCCACTATTCAGATGCATCGTTCTGCCTCGAATTGGATGCCCTTGGACCTTCGAAAGTTGACCAAAAATAAGGTTGGTCTATTTTTTTTTTGTTGTGTTTGGCTCTTCAATGTTGCGGAATAAGAGTAGTGGAGCATGGTTGCACAATGTAAGTAATTCAGCAAACTTGCTGCGGCTAAAGATTTTTGTAAATGGGTTGTGATTGCTGAAATCGGAAGTGTTGCGGTCCGATGGTCCATTGCTGAGCTTGACTAAGGTGGCCAAAGCCATTGCTAGACAACAGTTCTTGGGAGATGCTGACATGGCCAAGTGACATGGGTGATTTTGTCGAAGAACCTTGGTGTGATCAGAATGAGCTTCGATTTTATGCGTGCTCGGTGAAACTTATTTTTGGCCTTTCATTGACGCCGAATGGCTTGCACCTTTTGCCGAGAGATTGTCACAAGTCCGCTTGGTGAGTTTGGAAAATCGGCGGTGACTTGGGGTGCTCGACAACTAGTCAAGCTTTGGTGAAAGATGTTTGCATTTGTGATCGACTTCGAGAAGACGCTAGCTTGTTATGGGTGCTAAACGGTTTTGTTGAGATTTTGATCGGCATCAATATGAGCCATTCATGACAATTGAAGTTGCCTCCAGATCAGACTGTTTGAATTTATATGCATATATATATATATATGGCCAGCCAACTACCACAATTAAATAAATAAGAATAATAATTTGTTTTGCTCATAACTCATGGTCCATTCTAGAGAGAGAAAAATTGAAGACCCAGCCTTGGATTCTACAGAAAGTTTTAGCATAGGTACACGTGCATACATGTTTAGAATCAACTTCAAGCTAAGTATTAAGAAACAAAGAATAAATAAATAAATAGACAGACCGACGTAGGAATTTAGCTAAGCAACTTTATTGAATTGTCGAAAAGATGTTTGCATCAACAAAAGTGTGAAACCCATTTTTAGAGAGAGAAAACAGAGATGTAAAAGTAGATCCATGAATTCTGTTCTATTTTAAGACTTTCTCATCAACATAAGTTCGTACGCAGATACATACGTATATACAATTCAAGAACCCATTTAATCAGAGAGAGAATAGATCACCATCACATTGTTGTTAAATTTTTACTTGTAGTACCATGTTTGCTATTTCCTTCGTTGACCTCTTTCTGACGATTCCCACAGATGACGCCAATTGTGAGACCATGAAATATCCTCTCGCATGGATTGTAGAGATCTAATGAAGAGACACTACTAGAAAAAGGAGCATTTGGCACGGAACAATTTGAGACGGTTTAAGTGCCGTCGCAAAAGCCGTCACGGAATTTATAGTTTTTGCGACGGAAAAAGTTAGACCGTGGCAAAAAATAAGGTTATATGCGACGGTAAGTTAAACGTGGCAAAATTTTTCTAATTTTAATTTTTTTTTTCCTATTTTGCGACGCACTTTTGCCAATCCGTTGCAAAATTTTACTTCTCTTTCATTTGCAACGGCCTTAATATCGTTGCAAATAATAATTCCTAATTTCGCGCCAAAGCCCCCTCTCCCACTCTCCCTCTTTCCCGATATTCCCGAATTCTCTGTTATCTCTTCAGATCAAAAAAAAAAAAGCCCTAATCTCACTGCTCTCTCCCTCCCTCTCACCTAGTTGTCACTCTATCTCTCTTGCACCGGCAACAACAACGTCTAGGTAACCAACCCTCTTCTTTCCTTTCGCTCTTGCTCACGCATACCCTCCCTCTCACCCAGTCGTCGTTCTGTCTCTCTTGTAGCGGCAACAACGGCGTCTGTAGCAGTGGCAACAACTGCGTCTGTAGCAGCGGCAACACCGTCTCTCTTGCAGCGGCAACAACAACGTCTCTCTGGTTCTCCCTCCGGCATCTAGGTATAGCCTTCCTTTGCTTTCCTTTGCTCTCCTCTGCCCTTCTATCGTTTGTTTCTCCCTGCTCATCAATTCAAGAATTTGTTGGTGTGTGTGTTTGATTTGTGCCAAAATTGATTTTGTGTTTGTGTTTGATTTGTGCGAAAATTGATTTTGTTTTGGTGTGTGTTTGATTTGTGCGAAAATTGGATGTGTGTATATATATATCTTTTTTGTGGTTTGTGGTTTTTGAGAAAGAAAACGAGTGGAAATGTTTGTGATGCAGTGACTAGTGAGCATCACTATCAGTGCCGGTGGTTGAAAAAAAAAATAGTTCTACTTCCACTATTTGATTTTGATATTTGATTATTAATCCAAAATGATCTTTTTCCACTAGTAAACCATTGGGCACTGACATTTCAAGTAGGAGAAATTATAATGTAATTTTTTGTGTAATAAAATCACAGTGAAAGTTGCCTCTTCACCTTTTGGTAAAAGATTCGAATCCCTTCCAGTCTAGTTTGGATTGGAGAGCATTGTTTGGATTCGTAGGACTTATCATGAGTCTCATTTTGATAATTTAAACATTCATTGACAAGGCCTTGCAATTCTTGATTCTCAGATTCTCATGCTTAGAGACTGTGTCAGGCCTAACATGTTCACTTACTCTTCTGTTTTGAGAGCCTCCCATGGTTTACCTATCCTTCAACAGCTCCACTCTAGTATAATCAAGACCGGCTTAGATTCTGATGTCTTTGTCCGCAGTGCCCTCATAGATTCTGGTGTCTTTGTTGTTGTGGTTGTTGTTGTTGAATGCCATTCATTTGAAGGTAATTGCAAGCATCAAATGACTGAGATGGCATCAGCTCATACTCAGGTCCTCCTGGCATCAAACTCATTTGCTGCTGTGCTCTCTCATTCTCTGCTATCTACTCACAAACAAATTGTATATTTTTTAATAGATCTTTTGATTTCTATCCAATTTCTTAAAATATATTTTCAATTAGGCTAAATTAACATAATTTAAAAAGTTAAATGATACGTTAACCATGTATACATAATTCTAAATTAAAATTATAAGGACTAAATTATAAGAGACAAATTAAAATTAAAATTATAAGAGACAAATTATAAGAGACAATTAAACTAAATTAAAATTATAAGGACTAAATTATAAGAGACAAATTTTAAAAACCACGTATACATAATTTGTTCTTTTTTCAATCTTACACATTGTATTCCATTTGAATTATTATTGAAGCAAGTCTCATTATATTTTGTTTGAGTGAAAAGATACGTTAACCACATTATTTTGTTAGAATAACCACATTATTTTGTAGAATAACTAATATAACGATGACATATTACGTGATAAGTAAAATATGATAAGATAAAATAGTCATTATAGCATTATCGTATAAGAAATAAAAAGAACGTTGATAAATAAAAAATAAAAATATTTAAGACTCATAATTTTAGACTCATAAATATACCCCAATGTTGTGGCAAGAAAGTTGGGTATTATATGGTTAGTATGTCACAAATCAAAATTTAACATCTATCATATTATACCATTGTGGATCAAATTTAAAGTGTTATTTTTAGGATATCAATTATTTTTCAATAATAAATCACAACCAAGATGAGGAGAATGAAAGGAGATGACTTTATATTTTACTGGAAAAGATGATAAAGTCAATGGTTACCTCTTAACTTTAAACTTTATGGTAAGAGGTAACCATTGAAAAATATGGTTATCATTACCTCTTACCTCTTTATGTACTTTATATTTTAATGGTTACCATTACCTCTTAACTTTATCATCTTTTTCATTACCTCTTACTTTAAGTTTTATGACATTTGTGATCGTCACTATCTTCGTTTGCAAACATTCCTTCTTGTTACTGTAAGGTTCGTCAGAGTTGGAATGTACTTCAACAGTTAAGCTTAATCTTCTACACTTTCCTAGCTCACCAAACATTCTCTATTTCAATCTATTGAATGGAGAAGATTATTCTATTTACCAAGCATATGCGGATCCAATCTGAGGCCTATTTATATTCTAGCCTCCAAGCCAATTTTTCCCTGGTGCATGGTTACACATCAGTACTCCAGTGCATTTCTCCCTCTGAGTTGGAGTGAGTATGTTTTGAAAAGGAAGCTCGTGTTAGGCTCAAAAGGGTTTGCAAGGGTTATTGGTAATTAGAAGAAATGATAGCCTCCCTTCATTCCTGGAGAGACTGATAAGATATCCCGACACAGGGCTACTGGCCATCTGCCGGGAATTTCGGGTTTAATCATATTTTGCCTTCAATTTGAAGTTCTTAGTTACTTCGACTGGATGAATTTTAGCGAGGGAGTATGGTTTGACCCCGATCATATTATCTTTTCTGATTCTTCCCTCCATCAGTGAGGTTGCAGATCTGTTTCCCTTCATTTGTCAACTTTTCTTGCAAGATTTTCCCTGCCTTAATCCTTTCACATGCTATTTGTTATCCCTTTCAAAAACCTCCTTTTCATTTTTTATCATCTGCTTGTCTTGATTTTGTACTAGTTCCAGTCAGTGTCTTTTCTGTCTCCTTTTAAAGTGTGATGAAGTCATCGAACTCTCTCACATAAGATTTATTTAATTTTGCTGATTAGCTTTTACATTTTATGTAATAGGTCCTCCCATCGATTCCTTTTGTGAAGGCTAACAATGCAGAACGCTCTGAGGGTGCTAGGTTTCGATGGCTAGCTGATGCCAACCTATCTGAACATTTGAAAAGGAGGAAAATGAAGGCATTAATTCCTCAGATTGTGCAAATAATATATTTTGGGGCATTATTGATATTTTGTGTTGGTTTACTGGTGGTTTTCGGTGGTTCTTTCGATTGTTGTGGCATGGTTTCCTTTATAACATCATTGGTTTTCTTGATTGAGCCAATTCAGGTAATCATATCTATCTACAATAACATCATTAGTGTTGTGTCCTAGCAAATTTCTATTATGAGAAATATTTATCAAAAATATATATATATATATTTCTATTATGAGAAATATTTATCTAAAAAAATATATATATTTCTATTATGAGAAATGCTTGTTGTGGCTCCCGACTATGCCAATAAGCTTTCTTGTGGTATCGATGTGATAAAACTTTCCCTTTTATTAGTTTGTTAGATTGAGAAGTCTGAATTACTGTTGACATCAATGCATACAATGTTAAGCAATCTTTTCAGCCTCTTAAAGTGACTAGTTCATGGAAGGGTGGAAGAGATGCAAGGTTATGACATATGACCTTGAGGAGGTGATTTCAGAAACTTCTTACTGAGGTTTCTTCATTTTTTCTTTATATCTTTTTTACATTGGGAAAAAAGGACCCATTTGTGCGATGCAATTGCCAATGTGAGGGATATAATGAAACATATGGTGAAAAAGGATTTTCAGACATTTTCTACATTGAAACTTGGGATGGGTTTTGGAATCTTGTGAAGTTTAGGCAAGTTAGTGAAGTCAATCAAATAGGCACCATATTCTCTATTAGTAGTCTTATTTCTGTGGTGGATCTACTTCTCTAGCATCCTATGTCTTGTTTTTCTTATTTTTGCTGCAATGGAGCGAGAATACCCTTACATATGATGTGACTTCCAATTTGAGTCAGAGATTTATGAAAAAAGAAGATGCATGAACTAAATGCTTATTTGGGTTAAATTTGTTTATTTTGTTTTATTGACAAGATGGAAATGGTTTTGGAATTTATTGTCATCTAATATTTTGTTGATAACCATGCATATACTTTTTCTAATTGTTCTTTTCTGTTTCTCATTATGGTTCAGCCTTTGAGGAGCTGTCTTGTTTTTCAATCTGAATTTGAAGAATCACGCAGGGGGTGGGAAAAGCATACAATGAATTGAAACAAGGAGAGCCAGCAATTGAACGCTTGTTTGATTTGACCAGGTTCCAATCTAAGGTAAATTTTTGGTTTAATCAACTTTGGTTATTTTCAGTTTCTAAGAAATATGGCTAGGCATTCTTTCGAATATAGACAGTCGATAAATAAAAAATAAAAACAGAGCAGTGAACTGTAAACCTTACGTATTTGGGACATCAAAGTTATTCCTCATATGACTTTGGTTATTTTCAATTTTCATGAAATATGGTTAGGCTAAGCATTCTCTTGAATATAGACAGTTGATAAATGAAAAATAAAAACAGAGCAATGAAGTGTAAACCTTAGGTATTAGAGACATCAATTAATTCCTCAGATGAGTTCAGGGTGTGCTGCACTTTACTTGGGTTGTGGAATTCCGGTCCATTCTTTTATGCCTTCAGTAGATTCCTTGATTGTGCAAAATTCCCTTTTTATGTCCTCTTTGATCATATAAATTTTATTCAGAAAGATAGCTATTCATGCTTTTTTTAATTTTATTTTATTATCAGCAACAAGAAAATTATTTTAACAAAAATAACGTTGAAGTACAACTGAGGGAGGACAAGAAGTCCACCAAGAAGATAACACAAAAAAAGATGAAAACAAGCCACCAATCCTCACTCGTTACAGATAGTTATCCAATCCCTAAAAAGAAAAATGCTTGGGAGCACTAATTAGTGCTCCCACTAATTAGGTGGCAGTGGGTCCCGTCATTAATGATGTGATGTTTTGGTCTTGGAGTTGTACTTTTTTTTTATTTTTTTATTTTTTTAATGCATTAGTGCTATTAGTGGTGATATTTTTAGTGGGATGAATCATTGTTGAATAAAAAAATACGAAAAATAAGAAAATAAAATTTTTTGAAAATAGTTTTTTGAAAAGTGAAAACAAGCAAGGTGTTATTATTCAAAAAAATAAAATAAAATAAATAAAATAAAATAAAACTTCAATTACAGGTTGCAGGTGTTGAGAAAGCGACGAAAACGCGTCAAAGATTCAAGAGAGAAAAAAGGGACACAGACTCACACCAGCCAATCAATACTCATCACTCTCCAATCTCACCCAAGAAAGAGAGAGAGCTTAAACCTTGTTTGGATTGGAATGGCATGGCCTTCTCTCTCTTCCTTTCTTCCCTCAAAACCCCTACAATCTCACTCATCCTTCTCTCCAGTCTCCTCTTCTTCCTCTTCCTCACACCCTCCCCAAACTACCCCTCTACAAACCCATTAATCCCCCACAGGTCCCTCCTCAACACAACCACCACCACCACTACTTCCCTCTCCTGCTCCTCCATTCTCCAAACCCCACCTCACAATCGCTGCTCTTTCTCTCTCCTCCACTGCACTGGCGACCCTAACAGCCTCATTAACTACTTCTCTCAATCGCTGCTCTTTCTCTCTCCTCCACTGCACTGGCGACCCTAACAGCCTCATTAACTACTTCTCTCTCCATTTCTGCCTCTTCCACCAAAACCCATTTGCCTCTGTGCCCTTTCTCTTCCTCACTATCCTCTTCCAGTTCTATGTCCTCGTCAAGACCGCTCAGGATCAATTCTCTGTTGTGGTCACCAAGCTCGTTACCCACCTCAATTTGTCACCCAGTATTGGGGCTGTGACTCTTCTTGCACTCGGCAATGGTGCCCCCGATGTGTTCGGCCGCTGCGGTCTGCGGAGGCCATCCGAGGACTGGGTTCGGCGCGATTTTGTCTGCCCGGACGTTTGTTTCGGCATTGGTTGTTGGGTTTGTGGCGATTTATGCAGCACCCTTTTCGGTGGACCCTGTGCCTTTTGTGAGGGACGTGTTGTTTTACTTGACTGCAACTTTGTTCTTGTTCTATGTGTATCTTAGTGCTGAGATTTTTCTATGGCAGGCTATTGGGTTTGTTGGGTTTTATCTTTTCTTTGTTGGGTTTGTGTTTTGGATGGATTTGGGGAGGGATGGTGGGAAAAGAAAAGGTGGGGTTGGTGTGGGTGGTGGTTTTGTTGGGGATGTTGAGGTTCAGAAAGATTTGATTGCGCTGGATTATGAAAATGAAGAATTGTTGGGGAAAGTGGAGGGAGGGAAGCTGGGATTTCATTTTCGACAAGTTGGTAGGCAGGTATGTTTTGGGTTACAATTTTACAATTCTGATATCTTGCATTGTTTATGATCTATCTGTGTATTATCTCATCGTATTAATAGTGTGAAAGTTGTGATTGCCTGGTTAATATTGCAATTGGCTTAACTTAGTACAGGCTACAGCTATCATGTATCAATAATATAGTGTGATTGGAACTTAGATCTAATTCTACAGTCTGAGTAGGGATCTAATACTTTAAATGTTGATTACTGGACCAGTGGGGACTATTGGAGATAGTATAAATTTGCTTAACATGAAATGACTAAGAATGTAATGGATGCCTTCTTTTCCAATGTAATATCTTGTTACGAGCTACAGTTCTGATGATATGTTGGATTCTATATGGCACTACTACTCACCTCTGCACCTTAACTATTTGTTGGAGCATCGTCATGCTTAGTTTTTTCTACTAATGCAGTTACATAATTCACTGAATATTCATTTATACTCAATTGAATGTGCACACTATGAGAATGAATAGGAAACCATTATGTAAATATATACTACTATCATTCCTTTTTTGTGCATCATAGAAATGACACCATACATGCTTGCCTAATACTTTAGTTTTGGGATCGCCATGTGTTTGCTATCATGGGACACTTGTTTAGTCTCATTGACCAATGTCAAGATGATGGAACTTAGTACATGCCTCAATCTCACTCTATGAAAGAGATGAGACGAGGCACCTTCCTAGCATCCTGTGTGAGCTAAGTAGTCTAGGTGATATCTTCTGTCTTTCCACTAAGGCCAAGAAGTGAGGCCTACACATGTCGAACAACTTAGCATGCACTATGACGCTTTGGGGTCTATTGGTTGGAGATGAAGTTTCGCTGCAATGCGTTACTTTGTGTGGGTCTAGCTACCTTAGGTAGGTCAATTGAGAGAGAGACTTCTCCATACCCATGCTTCTCCTAAAATCTTCTACATGCTTGGTTTCTCTGCCTCAAAGATATGGTTTCTTGCAAAAAGTAAGCACATGGAGTCTAATTTATTTCCTTAGTAAACTCCTAAATTCAAGTGACGTAATTGTGCAAACAAACACTCTACCCTTGGGTAAAGGTATAAGATATTTGTCCGACATGTCTAGTTGAGCATGTGCCAGTAGTAACCATGTCTAGTAATGGAGTTTTCTGTATGATGGTACATAAAACTCTCACTCTATGCATAAAATGCTCTATGTTACTTTTGAGAAACCATTTAACCCCAGAACATCAAAGAAGAATATTATGAAATATGAATGTCTAGTTGTGTATTCATGCTTTTAGACATAAGAATTTGAAGGATCTGGCTTATACTCATGTTTGCACTTGAAACCCATACACTAGTCCATGAAACATAGCTCATTACCTGATGTTATTCAATATAAAACTCTCGCTTTATGCATAAAATGCTCTATGTTACTTTTGAGAAACCATTTTACCCCGGAAAACTGAATATTATGAAATATGAATGTCACCATGTCTTTGTACTTTTAGATGTTCTTTTAGACATAGGAATTTGAAGAATCTGGCTTAGACTCTAAATCGCACCTGACACCCATACATGAGTCCATGAAACATAGCTTATGACCTGATGCAATTCAACAATGGATTTGCAACATATAGCTGGTTTATAATTTTGTACACAACTTAGGTTTCAGCATTGGACTGAGCACTGACCACTTGCATGAGTTTGGAACAAAAAACATAATTATTAATATGGACAGAATTGAAGAAACTCATCTTTTTGCTAAAAACTGGCTTGAGGAATAGTCAATTGTTAGCAAATTGGAAGGCACCTTAAGAAAATGATAATAAATTTCAGCTCAATTTGTTTTAAAGTTATTGAGTATCAGGAGCCAACTAAATAAGGGGCACAACCCTATACACATAATTATACAACAATAATAGAACTACAAATCTCATACACTTTTCCAACATGTCTTCGTGGATATACATTTCCTTCAAAAAGTCAACAAAAGAGGAGAAGAAAAAAATTATTTCTAAGCCAGAAATTTATAGAGATAAGCATGGTTCTTTTTAAACAAATAATCAATCTGTACACCTTCAAAAGTTCCCATATTTCTCTCTCTAGATGCACCGTATAATTTTTATATTTTCTCCAATGACGTCCCTTTCCCAATAATTCTTATATTTTCCCCTACAACATCACGTTCCCCTCCTTAACTAACTCTGACATCACGCACTCAACTCCAAACACACAGTACAATTGAAGATAAATCATACTCTTCCTCGTGTTCTAGAGCACATGCGAGATCAATGTAACACAAATTGGCACCTCTTTCTCAGATTATTCGTCATTAGGATAACTTCTCGAGTTGCCATCTAAGGAGCTTTTGAGTGTCGAATCACTTTCTATGGAAAGCCTTCATCCCCAACCCCAACTTCCGATAAAAAGGAAACCACTTAAAAAAGTGTTGTTCTTGGACTCTCTTCATACCAAAGGATCTTCCTTTCGAGCTTGCACCCTCTTGACCCAAAACATCCTTCCTGAAAAAGTCTCTCCAGAAGATCGAATTCTGTAGCACTCCCATGGTAGATAAGGTCCAACAATCCTTCATTCAGATTTAAGAATTAACTGGAATTTCATAAAGGTCTGGAAAACCTTATTTAACTACCTTTTGACCTCACTAGGGATCCTACCAAAATTGCACTCAACGACCCTTCCCCCGCAATGATGCCCTTCAAACGAAAGAAATATTTGTTTATGATTTTTCAAGTTCCCGCATCATGACCCCTTATATTAAGTGTACCAATCCCCCAACCATGACCATATTTTCCCCTAATCATTGTTCACATCTCTTCCTCTCCTATGTTAAAGCTCCACATCCATTTCCTCTAACCAGGCTTTGTTGAACACCTCTAACCTACAAATCCCCAAGCCTCCTTTCAAAGGTTAACAAACCTTGTCCTAGTATACAAAGATGATACTTCAACTTCACTTCAATCCCTTCCCCCATCCCCCCAAGAACGTTCCTCATCAGTTTCTCCAACCTTATCACAACTTGATAGGGATAGTTAAAATAGACCACAGAACATAGAAAGGCTGGAAATGGTGCTTTTGATGAGAGTAAGCCTGCCCCCCTCAGATGGGTATTGTCTCTTCAATTTAGCTAACCACTTCTCAAACCTTTCCACCACTACGTCCTTAGAAGCCTTGTTTTTGAAGGACAAGTCAATGGAAGCTCCATGTTGGTCGAAGACAGATACCAACCTACGTTCCAAATCAGTTGCCAAAATATCCACATCATCTACCTCACCAATCATAATGATGTCACTCCTTTTCATGTGAACCCTAGGGCCCAACACTATTTCAAAACAAAGTAATACACATCTCAAAGTTCTCAATTCCTTTATTTATTTATTTATTTATTATTTTTTTTTAAGTCTCAAAACAAAATAGTATCATTACCAAATAGAAAATGAAACTCTAATACGATCTCATCACCTCTATTGTGTCCAAAATATCCGACTATCAAAACCATCCTTTGAATCATATGATTAAGCACCTCTAAAAGGATGAAAAAGAGTAGCAGTTGAGCATCACAACCCCTAGAGCTCTAAAACAGTTCTTATCTTCCCCATTTACTATTGGAAAAAAATACTTTACAGAAGAGATGCTGAAGCTTATCTACCTACAACACCTCACCCCAAAGCCCATCCTCTCTAGGAAATTGATTAAGAAATCTCAGCATACATGATCCTATGCCTTCTCAATATCTAGCTTGCAAAGAATGTTTCTCTCTATTCTAGAGCTCGCGCACTCTTTAGCCACCAGTAGTACATCAAGGTGTTGTCTTCCTTCCACAAAGGCATTATAGACTTTATAAACACTGCTAGTCAAGCTAGTCAACTTATAATCTTTGATATCATCCATAGCACAATCCGTTGGCAATGGAACAATAAAGGAGGCATTTAGGTTCCTCTCAAACTCTTTAGTCTCATTGGAGTGTATGTGATGGCTTGACCTTTGACTTAATGGAAGCTCATTATCATCTTTGAAGTTTGGGGCGAAGCCTGTGTGGGTCCATTACATGGACCAAAGACGTTTTGATCCCACAAATGTAATTGATAGATTATTATTATTAATATTTAGTTATATTTAAATCCATAAATTTAGTAAGATATTTTTAATTTAATTAGGATTATTAGCCTATAAATAATGGGTTTCTCAGTGCATTAGGGAGTTTTTGGCTTAATAATATTGTGAGGCCATGTTTGATTTACAAGACTAATAGTGAAGGTATTAATAATCCTATCAAATTAGTGTGGTATTCATTATCCAATTGGATTAGTAAGATAAATTATCCCCTTATCTATTGTTTGATTTGCATTGAATAAGAAAATATATGAATGTAAGATTACAGCTATATTTATCTTCTTTTCCCATCTTATCCTCCATCAATGTTTTTTCACAATCTTTACTTTATCAAAATTTCTTCATAAACATGGTTGTGAAAAAAATTGTAAATAAATAAATAAAAGCAAAATAAAAATACAAAATACAAAGGCCATGTTTGGTTTGTTTTTTAATTTTTTTTTAAAAAAATATAAACTAATTTGATAAAATAAATATCAAAAAATATTTTTAAATTTTTAAAAATTATTTTTAGCCTTCTAAAATATAAAATTATATAAAAATAGTAAGTGTTTTAATTTTTAGTCAATGGTAAAAGAGTCTTTTTATTTTATTTCTCAGCTCAGGATATATAATTCCACTCCTACCCCATTCCTAATAATCTTACAAATTTGTTGGATTAATTATCCATTGGATTAATAATCCTGAAACAAAATTTCAAGACAAACATAGGATTATTGGGTCCACGGATTAATAATCCCAATCCCATACTCTAATCCTGTCAATCAAACATACCCTAAGTATGTTAGGGATGTGGCCTCTTTAGTGATTCTTTTTCTTTCCCTTTTGTACATCAATATGACTGCTATCACAACACTACAATGGGTTCAGTTGTTAGCGGGACTAGTTTGCAATTTCAGGCCTCCTCTTGCTGTTGAAAAGTCGTTGCTTGCATTTGAAAGCCTACCTTAAACAAGTGAAGTATTCTCATGTACTTGCAATTTCAGTCCTCCTCTTGACATTGAAAAACCGTTGCTTGCATTTGAAAGCCTACCATAAACAACTGAAGTCTTGTCATGTGCTTGTTCAAGGGGTACATATAGCTACACGCCCAAACAAATGAAGCCTACCATATACAATGTCTCACATTCAGATGTGGCACTGAGTTTTTCAACGTTTAAACATATGATTAGTTAATTCTATTTCCTGATGGAGAGTTAGAAAAGCGATATAACTTAGCAGTAAGT